ATTCAGAATCCAAGATCTGCTCGGCTCTCGCACGATAGAGTAAGCACGTGATCTCCTCCTCTTCACGTTGTGGCGGAGGCCGCGCGGCTTTGCGCATGCGTCAGGCAAACGGGCGCGATGAGGTGAGGATCATATGTGTGTGCATATGCTGCATGGCACTTGGCGGCGGCAGCAGACGACAAGCCGCGCAGAGCTGGCGTTGCTGGGCGCGAGCGGCACGGCGGTTCAATGAGCAGACGCGGACGGTACGTGGAGCGAGCGGCTGGTGCGCTCCAGCAGCAGCATCGATCGCAACGCCAACATTTGTCCGCCGGTGCGCAGTCGCATCGTCCACTCCCGACTTGGATGCTTCCACCCCCACGCACGCTCGACCGACCTCTCGCTCACTCTACTCTTGCACGCCCAGCAGCGTTCAAATACATTGCACAAAGTCTTCTTATCGCATGTCAGGCGCTTGTTGGCTCAAGAGACGATCCCCTGCACTATTTTCAGCTGCTCAGCGTGGCTTACTTCCCTTGCCAGGAGATCGAAGAGCGTCCCGGCACGCCCAGAAGCTGGTTGTGTCACCCGCTTGTAGGGACAATCGCAATATCGCCCTCGAGAATGCAAAGGTGTCTCACTGAAGTAGAACGATTGCGTACTGACTACTCGGTCATTCACACCACCGCCTACCTATCGAATTCCAGCGGGGTCTTACATTTCACCTTCGACCGACTTCGCTCCAATCTCGCTATTCAGCCTCAAATTGCAAGACTGCCTCTTGCCAAATCACTGGACTGTCGTGCAGGACGATAATCAGGTCTGTTGCAGACAGCTCAGGAAAGCACATTGGAGAAGCAAATGTTCCCCTCTCCCTCTCCTTCCCCTTCGCCCTCGCCCGGTCCGGCGTTCCTCTACAACCAACATCACGCGCATGGACATGGACACGGGCATGGTCACGGGGCTCACAATCATGGAGGGCATGGCTCGAGCGGCTTGGGTGCCATTGGGGGAGGAGCGGGTGGAGGTCTAGGCAATGGCATGGGCAATGCCTCTGGCAGCTCACCTTTCGAAGGACCTGGAGGAGCAAATGGCTTCCCACCACTTGGTCGATATGCGCCCAACAACCTGGGTTGGAGCGCTGTTGGAGGTGGGAGCATGAACCTTGGCTCTGGAGCACTCAATGCGGGCGCAAGAGGCGCAGGGTCCAGCAATGGCGCTGGGCACACTAGCAATCCCTCTTTGTCCAGTCTCAACTCGCTGGCACATGCACATGGAGGTGCGAATGGAGCAGGTTCCATAGGAATGAATGCGCCTGGAAGTCCCAGCTACGGTCATGGGCCAGGGCCACTTCATCATCCCCACGCTGGAGCTCTGGGTCATCATCATCATACTGGTCATGGTCTGCATGGACCTAGCGGACTGTCTCAGCTCGCTTCCTCGCCCGGCATGGGTATGAGCGTCGGCGGGCACTCGACTTCCTCCAGCAGCCAGCCTTCAGCAATCAACAGCTCCCATTGGAATCAGCAGCTTGTGAAAGCAGAGGTTAGTGAATGCGCTTTAGGCTCTGGACCAAACGAAATGAGCAAATGGCTAATGTCTTTCGCTCCCGTGCACAGATTTCGAGGGCTTCTTCCTCTCCACATCATCATGCTAGAGCAGCTGCTCTGGCTGCTAGAAGCGCCACATCTGCCGCCATAGCCATCCAAGATCCGAACAAGGCTGGACGCGGAGCAGCCAATGGCTTGCACTTGTCGAGCAGTCTGAAGAAGGACAACGCCGACGCAGCGAGCGAGGACGGAGGTCACGGTAATGGCAGAGCGGGTACCAATGGCAAGGCCGATTCTGACAAGAAAGAGAAGAGCGGAGGCTGGACAACTATCGACATGGGTGGATTGGGCCTCAAGAACCTGGCCAAGGAGGTGTTCAGGTACGACTTCCTCACCTCGCTCTTTGTCAATCACAATGCTCTCTCCACAATTTCTCCAGCCATTATGCAGCTGAAGAACTTGGCGATCTTGGACGCGTCCGGCAACCGCCTAGTCAATCTGCCGCCGGAGATGGGCATGCTCACACAGTTGAGGGAGCTCTTCTTGTTCGACAACCAGCTCGAGACGCTCCCTCCCGAAATGGGCACACTTTACCAGCTAGAGCTGCTGGGTGTGGAAGGCAACCCCATGCAGGAAAATCTACTTTCACTGGTGCAAAAGGATGGCACGCAAGCCTTGATCTCTCACTTGCGGGATACATGTCAGGTGCCAATGCCGCCACCGGAAAGGGAGTGGATCAACATTGATGCGGATTTGCCACCCCCTCCGCCTGCCAATGAAGATGGCACACCAGTCCCACCTGGAGAGGTCTTCAACGTGCTATCGTACAATGTCCTCTGCGAGCGGTATGCGACTCCTCAGATGTACGGCTACACGCCGAGCTGGGCATTGGCTTGGGACTACAGGAAGGAATTCATCCTTCAAGAAGTCATGAGCTACTCTGCCGATATTTGCTGCTTGCAAGAAGTGGATTCGGAGCAGTACGAGGACTACTTTTTGCACCACCTGTCCCAACAAGACTATGAGGGCGTCTTCTGGCCCAAGAGTAGAGCGCGGACGATGAGGGACGAGGAGAGGAGAAGGGTGGACGGATGCGCTACGTTTTTCAAATCGAACAAGTATGCTCTGATCGAAAAGCAGCTGATCGAGTTCAACCAGACTGCTCTTCAAAGACCTGATTTCAAAAAGACGGAGGACATGTTCAACAGGGTCATGACCAAGGACAACATTGCGACGGTCTCGCTTTTAGAAAACAGACAGAGTGGATCGAGGTTGATCGTGGCCAATGCGCACATCTATTGGGACCCAGAATTCAGAGACGTGAAGCTGGTCCAAACCGCGATGTTGATGGACGAGCTAGAAAAGATCGCAGCCAGGTTCGCGAAGTTTCCACCAAAGTTGGATTTGGCGGAAGGGTATCCATCTGCGCCAAAGTACTCCGACGGAACCAAGATCCCGACCATCGTCTGCGGTGACTTCAATTCTGTTCCCAAGTCTGGCGTTTACGAGTACCTGTCTGGAGGAGCGATTCGGGGCGATCATGAGGACTTCATGTCGCACATCTACGGCAACTACACTTCGGAAGGACTTGGCCACAAGTTGCCACTCAAGAGCGCCTACGCCAATATGGGAGAGATGGAATTCACCAACTACACGCCTGGGTTCGAAGGTTGCATTGACTATATATGGTACAATCAGAATGCTCTGGCGGTCACAGGTCTGTTGGACGGTGTGGACAAAGGCTACTTGGAAAAGGTCGTCGGCTTTCCGAACGCCCACTATCCTAGCGATCACATCTGTATCCTGAGCGAGTTTAGGGTCAAACATCCGAAAGATCCGCCCACATCGAGACCTGCAAACTTCGGCAACTCCTTCTCCAACAGGGATAGGAGATGACTCGCGCAGAGTATTGACTCCTTGCGTTCTGGATAAGGTGGACGGGTCGTTTCTATTTGAAAGAACCACCGTTGGGTCGCGATACATTGCCCTAGCTTCTGCCTTGCTCCGTCATCTCAGCAGCGTCGTCCTCTTGGAGTTCGTAGCCTCTCTATCTTGCCGCGCCAAGCAATCCACCACCAGGATCATCTTTCTTCTGTATATGCTCTAAGCTCGCCTCGGTGGAGGCGCGACCATCGTGGTTCACCTTACCGAAGCAGCTTGCAAATCCCCACTCTCATCAAGAGGAGGAGAAGCTCATCGCCGCCCGCAAAGCTCCTCACAACCTTCTCAACTCGTGATCCATCCCTTTATCCGCGTCTATGTGCATCCCCCTCTCTGCCCTTCAACTCACCCCTCGATCCTCGTTGCTCGACATTGTACGCCTGATTCACGAGTTTCTCGCAATGAATATCACAAGTCGTTATACTCGCCTCCATCATGCATGCGAGATTACCGCCATTGCTGCAGAAGAGCTGATTGGAGCGAGTAGCTCTTTTGAAGGTCACTTTCTGCAAAGCAGTTGAGTGCACAAATCAATTGCGTGGCGGGCAAGATGTTGAACGCTATATACAGCAAATTTTGTTGCGGATCATGCATTGCGCCTGACTAGAGTGCGTGCGCGCGACGAAGACGAAAGGAGGGTAATGAGTGTGGGAGAGGATTGGATGTGCGAATCTATGGAATGAGCGAAGGTGAAGTTAGGCTAGGCAACGATGCAAAGAACAAAAATTTCGGAGAGGGAATGGGGGAGGGGGATCGTCCCGTCAAGCTTTTTTGCGGGGCGGTGCATTTCAGGCGCAAAGCACAAGAAAAGTCCCGAATTCCCGTACGCAACAAGGAACTGTTTCGCAAAGCAAAAGCGGACATTGTTGAGTTCAAATGTTCTTTTTGAAATCGTAATTGTTCGACCAAATAATGTCGCTGATGCTCTTTTTGTTCTGCAGTCCAGCAGCCTTCAGCTTGCCCTCTAGCGCTTCGGTGATTGGAACCTCGCACTGGTTCGTGCTCTTGGTCGTATCATACGGTTTGGAGTAATCCTTGAGCGAAGGCTCGCACACTTGTTGGCCGGGACCGAAAGCGAGAGCAGTGGCTGCGATGGTGATGGTGGATCCGACGAGCCACCTATCGGGAATTGGAATTTCCTTTGGGATCAACTGAGAGCAAATGTCCGCTTTGAAGGCTCCTTGAGGCGCTTTGCCCGACGCATCGGTCAATGCTCGTTTGGCGATCGTCGTTGTCGCATCTTGGAAGAGCACTTGAGAGTGCTCCAAGAACCAGATTGGTCCGCAAACGTCTTGGATCATAAAGTTGCTGGCGCCATTGAGTCTTGCGGAAGCGTCGGGTCCGGACTGAGGTTGCACAACCTCGTCGTAGAACGACCAAATGGTAGTCGTGGGGACGTAGGAGTTCAAACCTCCAGCATTGTGCAGAGCATTGAGGAAACGAGACTCGGTGGCTTGTTGTTTGATCGACGGTCCAGCGGGAGAAAGGGCTCGGGTGTAGGAGGTCAAGGTGCCCCTAAAGTCTGGAGACATGGCGACGAATCTGTCCACCTTTGCTCTGCTGCTAGGGAAGAAGGTCAACACCCATTGGGTGACTAGGTTTCCTTGACTCCATGCCATGACGGGAACCTTTTTGTTGCCGCTGGCTGCGTAGAGCCTGTCGACGGCATTGAAGACGTACTCGGCGGCAATTTGACTGTCGGCAAGCATTTGGTTGGGACCCGTGACCCAGCAAGGATCGAAGCCGAGCGCTTTTCCAATAAACTTCCAGTTGTGCTCGTACGTCTGAGCACCCGTATTTCCGGTGCCCGGAATCAAAAGCAGGGGTTTCTTGACGTTTGCAAAGCTTTGGTTTGGCTCCCATGGACATTGGATGGCGGCGTCGAGCACGGATTGACGGGTGGTGATTGCTGGATCAGCACCGGTGGGTGGGACAGGCAGTGCCGCGCGTTGCTCAAGCGGCGCAGCAACGGTCGAGCTGGCCAAAAGAAGGGCCGCTCCGAGCACGGAGAGGGAAAGAGAAAGCTTCATCATCGACGTCTAGTGGTTGGGGGGGATTGTGGTGATGGAAAGGAGGTTTCGAGGGAGGAAGAGGTGGGAGGCTGGGGAGGAAAAGGAGACCCAAGACGCTCGAAATTTGGACGAACGAGATTGGGAATGGAAAAGGAGAGCGGACGCGGACGGTTGGGAAAGCAAGGGTGAAGTGAGTGTGTGCGGTCAAGTGAGTGAAGAGCAGCGGGTGGCAATTGGGAGGGCAGAGTAAGACAAGGAATCGAAAGAGGCAGGCTGATCTGGGGAAACGCGTGCTGTGCTAACAAGCATGCGGGGAAGTAAGCGTCTTCACCAGTCGTGCTTTCACGCATCCGCCGAGAGCAAGGATGGCCGACTGACTCTCAATCGTGCATCCCATCACGCCCCATCATGATCATGCGGAGAGGGAGATGTACGAGGCGTGCGGTAATAGCTGCCAGGAATCACAACGTCTCGCCTCATGCCGCGTGCTGCAAGCCGAGAGACTAAGCTGATCGTCCTCTGGCTGAGAATACGATGACGGATCGCAGCTACAGTAGACCCTACTCATACTGTACCCGTAAACATGGCAATGATGCCTGATCGCGCGCTTTGCTTGTTTCTGGCGTAACCTTCCCTTCGTTCTTTCATGTCGCGCCGAATCCCTTCACCGTGCCAGGGTCAGAGTACCGTACAGACCGTAGTGGGTGCCAATTGACAAGTCGAAGACGACCAATGCTCCGTGGGCAGCATGGCAGCGAAGCCAGGAGTGCGCTCTATGTTCAAAGGGTCCGTGCAGCTGACTGATGCAGTTCCCCGAATGGTAAACTTTCGAGTTTGATGAGTGCGAGGGTTTGGGTGCGTACAGGTATACAAGACCATCAGCAGCAGCAGGCAGGCAGGGTTAGCGCTCCAAGAGAAGGTCCGCTGCATGCATCAACCTGCCAGATCTTCACGTCGCGAAACATTGCAAATTGAATCAATTCGAAGTAGACGAGGGGCAGTGCGAGCGAGCGAGCGAGCGAGCGCGAGATTGGAAGCCCCGCCGACGCCGCGCTGGACGAATGAGCATGACGGGTCTTTGGATGAGAAGTGACACGATGAAAGCTGCTTCCAAAGCGTCAAAGCAGTGCAACGTTACTCAACGTGCCGCTTCGTCGCTTCACTGCAAAGCCAATCGAGCGACGATACCTGCGCTGCGCATGGAAAAGCAGGTAGGGAGAAGAGAGGGGAGAGAAAAGGAGCATGATAGGCCAATTCAGGTCGGTCGGAGACGCTTGGCCATGCGCGCGGCTTTTTTTCTTCTTCTTCGTAATGCGGAAAGCGCGGAAATGTACCCT